CTTCGCTGCTCGACAACGCTTCGCTGCTCGACAACGCTTCGGAGTTCAACAGCGCTTCACTGCTCGACAATGCTTCGCAGTTAGACAACACTTCGAGTTCGACAGCGCTTCGCTGCTCGACAGCCCTTCGCAGTTCGACAACGCTTCGCTGCTCGACAGAGCTTCGCTGCTCGACAACGCTTCGCTGCTCGACAACGCTTCGGAGTTCGACAGTGCTTTGCTGCTTGGCAGCGCTTCGCTGCTCGACAACGCTTCGCAGTTCGACAGTGCTTCGCTGCTGGACAGCGATGCGCTGCTCGAAAACGCTTCGCTGCTCGACAGCGCTTCGCTGCTCGACAACGCTTTGCTGCCCGACAACGCTTCGGAGTTCGACAGCACTTCGCTGCTTGACAACGCTTCGCAGTTAGACAACGCTTCGCTGTTCGACAACGCTTCGCTGCTCGACAACGCTTCGGAGTTCGACAGCGCTTCGCTGCTCAACAACGCTTCGCTGCTCGACAATGCTTCGCTGCTTGACAACGCTTCAGAGTTCGACAGCGCTTTGCTGCTCGACAACGCTTTGCAGTTCGACAACGCTTCGCTGCTCGACAACGCTTCGGAGTTCGACAACGCTTCGCTGCTCGACAACGCTTCGCTGCTCGACAACGCTTCGCTGTTCGACAACGCTTCGCTGTTCGACAACGCTTCGCTGCTCGACAACGCTTCAGAGTTCGACAGCGCTTCGCTGCTCGACAACACTTCGCTGCTCGACAATGCTTCGCTGCTCGACAACGCTTCGCTGCTCGACAACGCTTCGTTGCTCGACAACGCTTTGCAGTTCGACAGCGCTTTGCTGCTCGACAGCGCTTCGCTGCTCGACAGCGCTTAGCTGCTCGACAACGCTTCGGAGTTCGACAGCGCTTCGCTGCTCGACATCGTTTTGCTGCTTGACATTTCTTTGCTGCTCAACAACGCTTCGGAGTTCGAAAACGCTTCGCTGCTTGACAACGCTTCGCTGTTCGACAGCGCTTCGCTGCTCGACAACGCTTCGCTGTTCGACAGCGCTTCGCTGCTCGACAACGCTTCGCTGCTCGACAACGCTTCGCAGTTC